GAGTTGTGACAAAGCTTCCAAACTCTCTCTTGTGTACAAGGCTCTGCCCTACACGGGCATTGAGCACTCTTCGGACAGTGAAGCACACCACTTGACTACGTCAAATTCATATTATGAATTTAAGCACAGACGATCCCATCCGTATGGCTATCCTAAGGCAGCGGTGGCTGATACCAATCTCTTACCTTTACTCTCTTCTGGTATGGACATATTCATGCTAGAGAAAATAATGAAATAAAAGCCAGTAGGCAAGACTTAAGCCGAACACAACGTTTGAAAATTGAAAGCAGCACGCTTTCCTCAAACAGCTGTGGGGACCTGTGATCACGTGATGAAAGTGATAGCCGAGAGATTCCCGAGATAACGTCGGGGATAATAATAATAATAGTATGACCTGTCTGATAATCATTTCTCGGAGTTATAGCAAAATAGTTTTGGATCTTCTTTTATTGCAACTGTAACCAGAAAAAGTGGGTTGCTTACCACTCTAAATATTGCCGAAAGGTAATTGCATTGACTGAGCAAGCAACTGACTCACTACCATTTAGATCACATGAGGTACATCGGGCAGCCATGTTCTCAATCAACCTGCAAAATATGCAATACATCCTGCCCAATACATACTAATGCGTTGCATTATAATTATGATGCAGGTATTTCTCTACAGACTTTTCAGGACAGCTTGTATGCCTCGCACTGCGAGTGGTCGAAATTTCGATACCTTCAACAATACAGGTACATTTTCCATGGATACTTGTACTGACACCTCCCATGACATGCAACGTATTACTTCAGAATTGAGGCGGTTCACACGAAGAGAAGGTGGGAAACGTTTGAGAATCTCTACGTCCTATTCCCAATCCACGCTTTAACGGTTACTGATAGTCCTCTGACTTCTATTCACAGTGCATGTGTTAAGTTAATGGCTAGAATTAGTCCTTGCATTTCTATTCCCAGTCTATTGTGCTAATGGTTTCTGTTAAAGGGGAAGTTCACCCTAAAATCAAAATTTCACAGTTTGTAGATTTCGAGGCGCTGAGTTCGGTGGTGAAGGTCCCATCGCCGTGCGATACGCCGTTCTGGAGATATTTGAATTTGAAATTTACCATGACGTCATGCGGCCGGCGCACACCCCCTCCACACCCTGTGACGTCAAAGAGATACAGGTTCTCGGTCTGCTTGCTTTTCACTGAGCGAGAAAGAGTGGCGTTTGTGGAGTTTCTTTCTTGCGACCTGAACAGTTTCAACCACGATGACGGTTTGCTGTGCTGTCGGCTGCTCTAACCAGTCTGGCAAGCCCCCTGGGACCACGGTGCATCGTATTCCGCGGGATAAAGCTCTCCGGGCGGAATGGGTTGCAGCGATTCACCGCGAGAATTTGCCACCTAAGTTTGAGGAGAGCTGTGCAATTTGTTCGGCACATTTTGAGGAGATGCCTTCCAGAGGAACTTGCACGGAGAGATGGGCATAACGTGCCGCCGAAAGCTGAAAGCAGACGCTGTGCCATCGATTTTCCCGGACAGGCGTCCCCCAGCGAAGCGAAGGATGTCGCAGTATCAGGAGAGACAGCCGGAGAGAGAAGAGGTGAGTGAATGGTTCTGGTGATTTCGTGCTTTGAGAGCGTGTTGAAATTTTGTCTGTACATCGCGAGTTGGAGGGGGCAGTTTCACCCACTATGTTGAGTACATCGTATACTTGTAGAGAAAATTATTTACAGATACCGGTACAAAGCTGTTTGCAGTGTGTTGATTGCAAGGTACTAGTATTGAATGAAGACAGAAGATCGTGCAATATATTTTTGTTTTATTTCAATTCAAGTTTTACATGTCGTGAAAAGGCATACAGTGGTCACTAGCTCTGTCCTCTGCTTGGTAAGTTTCAATTCCAAGAAAGTCTTTATTGTGTTGCATTGTCACTGTTATCTGCGTGTATTTTTCTAGTATGATCCTAGCTCAAGCCTATGCTGAGCCGTATGCCGCAGCTTTTCGGTCTCCAGTTGCATGCGCATTGAGTCCAGACGATGGCATGATATCTGCTGATGCGTGCACACAGACCCCCGTCAGCACACGGGAAATTTAGAGGTGATGTTTTGGTACCCACTGTGTAGATCAAATCCACACGTACATATGCTTGCAACACTGGCAGTACATTTTCATTATTATTATTTTGCTATAAACACACACACGCGCGCGCACACACACACACACACACACACACACACACACACACACCTTTGACGCCAATCGCCGGAGGCAATGATGGCGATGCTACGGCAGAAGCAATAGCAACTTGTGCTGGAATTGCACCATTCAACAGCTTGCAAGGCTGAAGAATTGACCGTCACAATTCAGCCTGGTCTACACCATACAGCTACACACACAAACACACGTGCAAGCACCTGGCTGACTACAAATAGTGACAGCTTATGATTGCTTTGCCGTTTGTCCATTACGCAGGTGTTCCACCGGACTCCTGGGCCAGGTTTTCCCAACATCAGCCATATGTATTGTCGGTATGCTGCGTAACGGTGCGAGCTGCTTTGGGGAACAGGGGAGTAGATCTTCCTGCTGTTAGTCTCACATGTCAACGTACATTTCAGTGCAACAGCATACTACAACAACAAATTTTTGAAGAAGCATACAAGCCAATATCCTGGTTATATTTTTGCACCATGGAACAGTATTTAATTTTGATGAGAAAATACAGTTCTCCGATGCAAAATCGACGACAGTATTACACTACTAGTATTAGCACGTACCGGTTTCCAAACTCAGATGGCTTCGATCCGGCCTGCTGATGGATCTTGCCCAAATAGCCACGCA